ATTAAACTTCAATAAAATGGTCTGTCTTGTTTATTAAAAAAAAAAAAAAAAAAAATAGTAACAGAAAATTTGGAATTAAGTAATCATTTTGAATAATTTATTTTATAAAAAATTAAGCTTGATTAAATATTGAGAAAAATATCAAAAATATACTGTATACTTGTTATTGAATTTCCATTCAATCCTATTTCTTATTATACTTTAATTAAATTTTTTTTAAAAAATAATGTCTATTCTTATATTATATATAAAAAATCTTTATTTGTGAAAAAAATTGAATTATGCAATTAAATTGAGCAAAGATTTATAAATATTGGACAAAAGAAGATTGGTAAAATGTTCTTTGGACTGATTAATTCTCTATTGATATAGACTTTTATAGAAAAACCAGAACTTTATGATCCAAGTTGCAATCAAAAGTGGATGCCAATCAATTATGGTGTGAGGATGTGTGAATGGTTACAATTTGTGCCATTTGATTCAAATTTCATCTTATATGAATGGCACAGAATATGGAAACCTTGTTTTGGATACTATCTATTCAATAAACTTGACTACAGAGAGAGGAATATTACAAGAAGACAATGTGCCAATTCACAAGTGCAAACTTGTGAAAGAAATCAAATCTGAGCTTGAAATCACAACCATGGAATGGCCGCCACAATTGTCAGACCTTGTCCAATTGAAAATGTGTGAAGAGAGATCAAGACTTGGATTCATAAGAACCGAAAACCACGCAACAAACCTGATTTGGAGGAGGCCATTACTGCGGCATGGGTAGCATCAAATTCGATAAAATTCTCCACTTTATAGACTTGCCCGATCGTGTGAAAGAAGTGATAAAAAAAATGGATATGCGACACACTGGTAGATTATTGAGAATAAATTTTTTCCACACGAACAATTGTGAAAATCGGCTTAGACCCCTTTGTACATATGATGATAAATTACAGCATATCAACTTAATTCTATTATAATTATTGTTTTCTTATAATCAAGAGAGTTTGGAAGATATGTGCAAAAAATTTGACGGATTGTTCAAAGAAGACTTTCATGTGAATTTATTAATCGGACTTTCCAAAATTGCCTTCTAACTAATTCTAAACTAATCATAACCGGTTTCATGAAAACAATCATTAAAATATAAGAACCTTTTATGGAATGCATCATTTGCTATAACCGAATTTCATTTCAAATTCGCTGAGGTTCAATCTCAAAACCTATCGATGTATAAAGAAAATCAGAACATAGCATACAATAAAACAATTAAAAGAACTAACATGAATTGTTGACTGTAGACTGAAATTGTTCTAAAAAACAAAATCTTTATAGACACACTTACCCCTTCGATGGGAACATCATCCAATTTCTTCTCGACATCATCGCAAATCACGACATAATGCCGGCGTTCTTTCCAATAGTTTAGATGCATCTTGATCATTGCAAGATGCAATGATTTTATCATTGAAGGTGGAACTGTGGGAGATTCACGTGACTATAAATGGCATAACAGAATATTAAAAAAATGCAGCAAAATATATACTATATATTTATTACTTTAAAGAAATAAAGATACATTGAATATCCTCGGGATTTCATCTGGTCTGAAATATCTTATATATCTCTTTTGTTCGCTTAACACGATGGTATAATATGAAAGCCTTGCACTAAAATCGAGTTATATTTTAGTGTGAAATATCAAATAAATAAATATATATATACTGTATATATATTTAACTGACTGTAAAGAGTGTAACGTACTTTAGGCTATAAACATTCTGAGTATTTGAAATTTGTGTCAAATATTCTTTGACGTATTGATTTAGAACGATTTCCCACTTAGAATTATGAAATTGTTGGGTTTGCTATAGGGTAAAGTCAAAGATGAGTTTTCATGTGTAATAGCAAGAGAATACTGGATCATTAAGTTGCTCACGTAGTTCAATACTTTTCGGATTCGCTCAATTGTATCCTTTTCCGTAGAAAATGCCAATGTAGTTACGGTTACGAATCCACCTAGATATTAAGTAGTTTTAGGTCATCACAGAAATGATAATAATTTATAATAATTTTAAATTTTTTGAAGTAAACCTTGTTGAAGTACCTCCTCGATGTCACTGGATTCTTTTAGCCGAAAGTCGACACCATAGAGGATAAACTTGCAACTCGGTAGATCTTTAAGTCTCGACAGATTTGGCATGTAATTAATTTGATTTTCATAAAGAATATGGACCTAATCATTCATACACTGTATCGTAAGAAAAAATATCACTAAATGGGCAGTATAATTAAAATTATTTTACCAAGACCATTTCTACATCTTCGCCATAATCTGATTGTTGTGCACCTATGCATTCCAGGAACTTTAAGATTTCCTTTCTTTCAAAATTGTCATCGGGAGAAAAATCAATAAATTTTGGCGGTTTATTAACGCACAGCTCTAAAAGTTTATTATATCCCATGGATTTTAAAAAAACATGAGAGCTAGATAGTTTTTGGTCCGATTCGATTATTGCTGTAGGTTGTAATTTAGTGGGATCAGGGATATCGGGTTTGGAAGCCAATATTACTTTGTGTACTGCGACCAATGATTGATTTGAGAGATGTTGCGTCTGCATAGAAAGTCCAAACTTTGTCGCATTCGGAAAGATTAACCAATAAGTATTCTCTTCATCCATTTTTATGACTCCTACCTTCATAATAAAAGCAAGTTAAGTCGCTTTATTATAAAAGTTGACTAAAATTTAGTAACTATTACCGCGTCGTTCCACTCCATGAGATTTTTGTAAGACACCAAGGCCTGGGAATTTTCGGTACTCGGCTCTATAACGAAAATTGAATTCTGTAAACTAATTATTTCCTCGGCATAAGGCCGTGGCAAAAAATTTTCTATCCACAAATCAACGCTTTCGCTAGGTACTCGATCACTAGAAAAGGTAAAAAATGATCAGAAATGGATAGCTAATTATTATAGAAATTGAAGCACTCACAGAAATGAGAAATCGAAACAATTCTTAGAGGGGCTTATGATTACGTCCACTATAAATAATTTATTTTTCCCTTGGAACAGACAACCTTTCCATTCCACTGTCGTCTCAGCAAAACCATCACTCATTGTCTTGTCGACCAAATGATCGCGTTTACTTTGATCCATATGAATGATAGACGTCATCTTATCAAAGTTTTCCTTACTCACTTGAGATGGACTCTACAAAAAATGGTTATAAAATAATTCAAATAGCACTCTTCCTGTAATCACATGAACTTATAAATTTCTTTTGTTTCACCTGGGCATTCAATGGCGTTTTAATTTTTCCGGAAATTGGTATTATAGGAGACTTTTCTTTTTCAAATAGGAAATTATTCTATTAAGTATAAAGAGATTAATGTAGATTTATTTATATCTTGATGAATATAGCACCTTAATTCTTACAGCTTCGGTCGCGTCATTCCTTTCCGCAACTCTGATATTATTTACTTCGGTATTTTCTAACAATCTTCCGGAATTGCCAAATGGCCCCGCAGTAGAATCCTTAGCCAGCTTTTCGCGTTTCCAATAGCTTTTGATCATTTCATCGACCCCGAATAAGTTTCGATACCGTTGCCATTGTGGAGTCTTGTTTCTGTCTTATAAAACAAAACAAAAAAAAAAAAAAAAAACAATAGAATTGTAATGTAGAATGAAAATAAATTAAAAATTAGGTCATGGCGTCTTACCTTTGAATTTTAGCTTATAGTAATCTTGATCCATTTCATACTTATAGTCAATTATTTTTTCTACTAGCACTGGTCCAGGTTTCTCTAATGTACTTATTCCTGTAGAAGGAATATACAACGGCTTAAGACTACAATTGAAAGTTTTATTTTATTAATACATATCCTTTAAAAACTATATTATAATCCATAATCATTCCTACATTTTAAAATAGCGACACCTACTATTTTGGACGACTCTGTTTTTTATATTCTTTACCCATAATTTAATTTATTGCGAATTAATTCTACGATAATCGAAATAAGGAATAGGTACATAGAGAGGAAGGCCTTTATAGAAATTACGAATAAATAATTTCAGAAAATTGCTTTTAATAATGAATCACCAAAACCTCTTCAATCAATTTTCATCATCGATATCACTACCAATTAACAATGGAATAAATTTGTCATTTTTCATATCAATTGTTTTACCCTAATTTCATTTTTCTGTTTTTTATTATAACATCTCCAAATTGCAAACTTTTGATAATTGTAATTATAATATTACTTGATTCATATTTTTTATAACATATAACTTTTATATTGATATCTTTAAGCCATAATATAATGGTTTTTATTTATTATTAAATTAAATGTAATTTGTCATGATAAATTATATAGCACAAAGCTTTTATAGATCTATTATAGTAAATTATATACAATACTATATACAAATTTATGTGAATTTGATTTTAATAATTTTTCTATAGCGTCATATTTATAGCATTTAAACTCCTATTATTATAAATAATATAATAAAGTTGGGTTATAAAGTCATATGCTTAATATAATAAAAAATAATTTTACCTAAATATTATTTAATCGACTTCGTATTGAATATGATCAAATTATTGACGTCAATGTTACAATTTGGAATTTTTGGCCCGAATTAAGCTCAATTTGGGTCAAATTATTAACGTCAATATTGTAGTTTAGTATTTTGGCCCGAATTAAGCTTAATTCTTGTCTAACTATTATATAACGTTTATATATTTTTTATATAACCAACTTAAGCAGGTTTGTTAAAATTTTATAGAACAATTCTTATATTAAATTTGGATTATTTGTATAAGTTTGTTTTAAATTTTATAATACATCAATTTATCATTTAATAATAATTCATCTTATCTAATCACTTGTTAAAAAGTTGAGTTTTTAATATTCTAATAACATATTAGAAGCTATTCAATTATACTATAATATATTATTATTTTTTATATCTTGAATAAAAATTTAATTCTAAAAGTTAACTATTGTTAAATTATTTATTAAAGTTTATATCTCAAATATTTTTGAAAGAAAAAGAATTAATATTTGTTAAAAAGAACTACTTATTTAAAAATTAAATAAAATTTATAATTAAAAATAATCTTGAAATTATTTTTTAATTTAACTATCTAATCTTGAAAATAATACTATTTTTAAATAAATCTATTGATTTTTTTTATTGATCTTCTAATTACTTATAAAAAAACAAAAGTTTTGTTATTTCTTTATTAATAAAGTCTTGAAATTCTATTTAAACCAATTTAAAAAATATCTTCAAGAATTACTTTCATTTTTTTATATTAATTTATAAATCTTTTTACTTTAAGTAAATTTAAAATTCAAAAAAAAAAATACTTTACATCTAAATCTAATTGTAATTAATTATAAAATAAGTAAATTTTAAATTAAAAAATATCTTAAAAAATATATTAATATCAAAAATGTATATATTTATAAAATTAAATCTAATTAATAATTGAAGCTTATTACAAACTCTTTCCGCTGATCCTAAATTTCCTTAAAAAAAATTTCCTTTTTCGGTAATTTTCTTGGAAAACTCAGAAGCCAGCCTCAAA